CCTAAGTTCCAGATTTTTCAATTAGCTTTCAAAATCACACATTCCTTAGACAACTGTTCCTTTTCATTGTTTATAACCTCAGATTCATCAATGAAATCTAGAAGTAACTCAGATAGACTTTATTTAGACAAAAACTTAATCTTGTCTTTGAGATGAATTATACTTACCTCAGATTCCTCATCGGATTCTCCAATTGCCATAAGTGCTTGTTCATCTCCATTTTCATCCTCTGAGTCATCATCTGATCTTTCTCCCCAAGCAGCAACCATAGCGTTTGTTGATCCTTTGTTCTTCTTGGGATGAACTTGTTCCTTCTTCCTGTTTCTTCATTCAACTCTTTCCTTCCTCCATTCAATTTCCCACTGAGGACAGTTTTTGATGTGGTGATTAGTCTTCCCACACTTGTAGCAGCCCTCGTTAGTCTGTTTTTCAGGAACCCTTGGTTTGTTGTAGCTTGCACCTCTTGAAGAACCCTTTCCTCTCATTAGATACTTCTTGAAGTCCTTTGTGATCATAACCATTTCATCCTCTTCTAGATCAGCACCTTTAGTGATTCTGAGTGCCAGGATCCTTTCCTTCTTGGGTGCATCCATCTTCATGGTTTGCCTTCTAAGTTTATAGGCAGTAAGATTTCCAATTAGCTCGTCCAACTTAAGAGTGGAAATTTTCATTGATTCCTGAATGATAGTGATTTTGCTTTCCCAAGTGACTGGCAGAACCCTTGTTAAAATTTTCTCAACTTTGTCCTCTTCAAGAAATACCCTTCCAAGAGACTTAAGTTCATTTGTTAGTGTGGTGAACCTTGTATACATCTCTTGGATGGTTTCGCCTTCCTTCATGGTGAAATTCTCATATTGAGATTACAGCAGTATTCCTCTTGACCTCTTCACTTGAGGAGTTCCTTCATGAGCCACTTGCAGAGTGTCCCAGATTTCCTTAGCAGTGGTACAACTTTGAATTCTACTTTACTCGTCTGGACCAAGTCCACACACAAGCCATTTCTTGGCCTTAGCATTCTTTTCCCATTTCCTCAAGTCCTCAGCACTGCAGTCAGCTCTTGTTTTTGGCACATCTACTCCTTCAGCATTCTTCTTCATGGTAGCCAGGGGACCATCAGTGACAATGTCTCATAGCTCATAGTCTTCTCCGATGATGTGATCTCTCATCCTGTTTTTCCACCAAGATTAGTACTGGCCATTAAAGAGTGGAGGCCTAGCAGTGGATTGCCCTTCCCAGTTTCCAGATGGTGCACTCATCTTGATCTTTTCCTAAGGTGTTAGCCTCTTCAAGGATAACCCGCTCTGATACCAATTGGTGATTTATACTTCAATAACACACAAGAGGGGGGGGGGGGGTGATTTGTGTGGTGCCTGATTTTCGCTTAAACCGATTATGGAAGGACCTGGTTCTTCTATGCGTTCCTTACACTACAGTTGCGGAATAAATAATGCAGAAAGTAAACACAAGGATGTTTACGTGGAAAACATCTGGCTCAAAAGGTGAAAAAACCATGGTCTACTTCTTAGTAGGATTTCCCCAAACTCTCCAATAAATCAATGAGCCAAAAACTGCATTTACAAAACACTTTGTAAACCTAGGATTAACTCTAATCCCGTTGTGGCGAACAACCTTTAACTGTTGCGACAACCTTAAGTTAACTCTAACTTGAATACTCTGAGTACCTATTACAATTTCTTCTAGATAAAGCTAAAAGGTACAATATGAAAACACCTACTACAATTGAACTAGAATAAAAGATAGACACTTGGAACTGGTTCTTCTATCTGGTTCACGTAGCTTCAGGTTTGCACACTTGAATCACAAACGAACTGCTTGCAAAATTGCCTTGCTATTTTTCTCTCAATTCACTTTTAACTTCTGCGTTTGTGCAACACCTGTAAAGTGAGAACATCCTGCAATTTATAGAGTTAGTAGATGAAGAATTAACTAGAGTTCTAATGCATGTTCTAGTTGATTTCAACTTCTAACTCCTTCCCTATCTTGGATAGTATTCTTTTTGATTAAGGAGTACTTCTCTTTATCAATTATGCAACTTTTTCGACCAGGAGATATTAAATATACCAAGTTAAGCATATCTCCTTCACGTGCATCCCACATGCTCGAATTTGCCCGTTTCTATGCACCACAAGGGATGGACCTGGTTCATGCCTGAGCGTCCTTTGTCAATCTTCAAAACAAGCCTTTACTTGGGCCAATAATGGGCCAAAAAATATCTTTGATATAGGCAAGCCATATTAGCATCATGATAGCCTTCATCGGCCGCCACGTGTTATCAATAAGATTCCAACAAGGATCTGTCCCACGTCGAAGTGGCCTTGAAGCGATGAAGGGCGCGGTCGATGAATCAGCAAAGATCAAGGTCGTGAAATCATCGTAGATCAAGGTCGAGGTCGAGCATCTTAGACAGAGTTATAACGACTATTTTTAAGATAGGACACTAAAGAGAATATTCTAATGGATATTCTCTGGACCTCTACTATTAGGGTTTTTAGGAATATGTTCCCTATAAATAGACAGAGACACAATGATAGAAGGAGGATATTCACTTGTAAGAAAACACATTAACTTTATTGAGAGAATCTGACCCTATTGCAAACATATGAAAAATACCTTTTTACTAAGATTCTTGTCTAACTTTTCCACTTGATCCAAGAACAACCTGAATGTTCAAAGGCTCATCAATCATTCAGCGTTGTCACAAGAAATATCAACAGATCTCACCCCTTTTCGAGTGACTCATATGTTCTTATTTACATAAATACCACCCATTGCTATTTATTATTAGTTAATGCTATCCTACTCCTAGGGGTGTACAAACCGAACCGGAAAACCGCACCATACCGATTAAAAAACCCAACTAGGTTTGGTTTGATTTGGTTTGGTATTGAGTAAAAAAACCCGAACCAAACCGACATATAAATATATAATTTTTATATATACTTTTAAGACTTTATATAGAATTTTCTTTACAAAAATTCAAGAAATATTTGGGATTCTCTTATGGAATGTAATATTTAATAGAATATGAAGTACTCCATTTTTACTAACCTTAAATAATGGGTTATATGATCACTTTCTTATCAAGTGTTACTGAAATGCGTCAATTTCTTTGTTCTTCCTTGTTCATATATCAAGATTTATTAAATTCTTATATCTTTTTCAAATTTGAAGTGGTATTTTGATAATCTAAAATTAAATAGAACTTATCATTAATTAGGTATCATGTTGATTTTTATGTTTAATTATTAAATTCGTTTAACCTTATAAGTATACATCAACGAAAAATTACTGTCAGAGGACTAAAAAAATAACTATCATGTGTTATTAACAAAATACTACCATAAAAATATTTAAATAGATCATATGTTTGTCAAGTTTTTTAATTTTTACTAAACATATATTTACTTATAAAAATTTAACAAAGTAAGATTGAAATAATATTCACATAACAAAAAAACCCGACAAAAACGAACCAATCCAACCCGATATAGTTGGTTTGGTTTGGTTTTAATAAAAACCGAACCAACCCGGTCCATGTACACCCCTACCTACTCCTATGAGACGTTAAATATTGCTGACATTGTTCATATTTATTGCCATCCGACATAAAACACATATTATTTTATTACAAAATCAGTTATCTCATCTTTTGAATATTATTAGGTAATATTGACTCTACTTATTTAAATTTAATTGGTTGAACCGAGATTTATTATATTTTGGGTCAAACAGTTTCATATTCATCAGTTTCTTATTAAAAGAAGAGCATGGTCTGAACAATAAAAAACGAGGCAAATAACCTTTCCATAAGGTTCACAAAATTCATGAAAATAGAAGCAAACATGAAATGGAGTATTATTTATTTATAGCATCCGAGGCGATGAACCAGAAGCACAACTACTTATTTTGTGTTACAGCAATCAAGAACCACAAGAGCAAACATAGCATTTTTTTTGTTCAGTGGCCTTCTGTTTCGGTTGAGTCGGACATGCAAGAACAATCAGGGCAAGGACATTCAACTTTCTCATCTATTGTGCTAGTCATGCAAGAGCAATCAGGGCAAGGACATTCTACTGTAGTCAGCAAATTTCTTGTTCCTGGGAAGTTCATATTCACAGTATATGTCTTAGCTAAGTCGCTCGACTCAATGGTTCCCGGAGTTTCAACATGACTCTCAGTTGACTTGCTGGTGCTGAGACTGAAGCAAAGCGCAAAAACCATGAAAAGCAATGCAACTGAGATTTTCTTAGCCATGGATCCAAAAATTTAAGTTAGTCCCTTCTGTAATACTTGTACTAGTGATGTGGATGTTCAAAGCAATTGAGGTATTGAAATTTATAGTGATAGATTGCTTATAGTGTTTGATTTTGGCATTGAATAAGTAGTACTAGCTGCAGGGATATCTATTAGAGTATATGCTTTTTGGAATTAGTGTTTCGGCTGTCTTTCTATAGAAAGTGACGCCAATTTATCTTGGAAGCTTAAGATGGAATTTGATGCCACCTATGGACAAAAGAAAGCATCAATCGAAAAAACTGCAACAACAAACAACGACAATATATCCACGTGGAGTCTGGGGAGGGTAGAGTGCACGCAAACCTTACCCCTACCTTGTGCGGTAGAGAGGTTGTTTCCGCTATACCCTCTGGGGAGGGTAGAGTGTACACAAACCTTACCCCTACCTTGTGCGGTAGAGAGGCTGTTTCCGCTATACCCTCTGGGGAGGGTAGAGTGTACGCAAACCTTACCCCTACCTTGTGCGATAGAGAGGCTGTTTCCGCTATACCCTCGGCTCAAGTCAATCAAAAAGACTGCCTAATGAATATTTAGCTTTATGGCATTAATATATCTGAATATCTGTCATAAGCTGAACAAGGCTTGATTATCAACCACTTTCTGTTATTTTCTGACAGTGAATAACTTCTACAGATGTTGTTGTTGAAATGAGATTTTATTATATTTCATAAGAGTTAAATAAAGGAAGTTTCGAATTGGCAAGAATTTATTTCACCAAATAAGACTATTCACAGCAATAGTATCAATTTTCAGAAACTAAGCCATCATGCAGCCAGTTTCTCATCATCAAGAAAGCCTCTTCTGCATCTTTATCGTCGTCTAAAGATTGAGGTCGATGGGCAAAACCATGACCCCGTCCCTCAAAAACCACCACTTTGCAACCATTAGCATTTTCCTCAACCTCCTTCAATACATTTACAGAACAAAGTGAATCGTTATCGCCTGCAATGAGTAGTAGTGGAACCTTAATCTTGCTAGCAACAGATACGTCAATCCGTGTGCCATAGAATGAGATTCCAACACCAAACTGAGAACCCTGGTCTTGAGCCAATATGTCTATTAATAGGCCACCTCCAAAGCAAAATCCAATGACACCAAACTTCTTTGAGATTCCTGCAGCCACAAATTCATTGACCATCCATTTCGTCGATGTGAATATGTCTCTTACAACCCGTTGTTTGTCTAGACTACCACACCATTGCTCAAACGAAGCCTGAGGTTTGTCCTTTCCCCATGGATTGCCACGAAACAGATCCGGTACCAGAACACTGCAAAATTATCCAATAAACACCGTCAAACAACAGAGGAATTCAATTCAATTCAATTCCTAACTAAAAGGGCTTGACATAACAATGAAGCTGAAAACAATATTACTAATGGATATAACTTACACACACTGACAACGTATAAGATAGCACGTATCTGTCTTATTTTTCAGGTTACTAATCCCACTTTTCATGAACAGTTACTTATAGTTATCTTTTAGGTGTCTTGATATGTAAAATGAAGTCGCAAACATTATTTATATTCTACAAAAGGAATCAGAACCCAGAAGGAGAAATGTTCGTGACCGAGGTTGCTAGTTTGCATCACTTTCTTGCACATAGTATGACGTAAGACAACCAAACGAGACGCCTTTTAAATAGAAAAGGAATAGCAGAGGACTAAATTACTTACTTGTACCCGTTGCATGCAACACGATATGCAAAATCTCTGGTAAATGAATCCTCATAGCCAAAGATATCAGATAAGAGCAAAATGCCAGTACCATTGTTGTTCTTTACCGCGTTGCAAAGATAAGCATCGATGCTATCAACTCCATCCTCAATGGAAAGCTCAACTCCGTTAACCAATTCACAAGCCTCATCCTCTACTTTCACATTGCAACTAAAGACTTTGCATTTCCTAGGCTTTCTGAAGGATAACGAAAACCCCCAACACTTCACGTAGCTTCTCTGGACAATAACTGAAGCTTGACAGTCAGCCCTTTCTCGACAATTATCCACTTAAACAACACAAATTATCATATGCATGAACTGAAGTTACAACTTGAAAAGGTACAACTTTGTTTGTTCCTTTTCTACATACAAAAATGTATATGCCTTCTCTGATCGATTTAAAGTAAACTTGGAAATATGGCATACTTCAAAACTAATTAAGAGTTTCACAACCACTTAGCTTTTAGCAGATCAATACATAATATAATCTCTCTATAAACCTGTTGTCTTTTGATCTCAAATTGAAAATTATATACTTAAAGTCGAAAGAAACCCCGGCCTCCATTGGCGGACAAAGGATTTGAATTCTATGGGTTCGAACTTATTATATTGTTACAGTTATGGGTTCATATATGCTATTTGTTCTTATTTTAGATAAAAATTTTACTCATAAATTTATGCTCCACGTCAGAATTACTAGATTCATATGACCCAGCACTGCTATGCTGGATCCGCCCCTGCCGGCCTCGTTATACTGAAGAGTATTACCATAATAATAGAAAACAGGATAGAGGAATGGACAGTACAAAAATTGGACAAAATTGAGAAGAAGATAAAAGAAGGGAGTTCTCAGATTGATAACATCAGCAGCTATCAAGAAATCACTAGTAGACTAGTATTATAAGCAGAGTGTAGTGTGTATTTTGCAATTACTGACTTAAAATCCTGAATTCGCCCGTAGCATTCTGCTTTTCATACCCCAATTTTGCTATGAAGCTCAATACTTACACTTATGGTCAGAGGGGAGCCATGATTTCAACCATATGGGTTCTAGAACGATGATTTCAAGTGTTGATAACTAGGTTCTAAATTTAATATTTCTACATATTTAGTAATTTGAAGGGGAGCCTTGGAGCAACGGTAAAGTTGTTTCTTTGTGACCTATAGGTCACTGGTTCGAGCCGTGAAAGCAGTCCCCAATGCAAGATTATGGGAGATTGTCTACATTACAAGGGTAGACTGTCTATATCACACTCTTTGGGGATGCGGTCCTCCCGGCCTTGCGATGAGTGCGGTATGTTTTTTACAACGGGCTACTCTTTTTATATTTAGTGAATTTTTTAACATAAATACACTGTTTGAGCAAAAGTTACTGGATTCGACCGAACCTATAGCCAAGCTTCTAGCTCCACCATATGTACAAAAAGCAACATTTGACCTGTATAAACAATATAATTTTTCGATGAAGGGTGTTGTACTGATCATAGCAAAATCCAGAAAAACCTACCGAAAATGGAAGATGAAAAGGAGCATCAAGTGGTGGCAAGAATGTCTCCCTGCTGCTACTACTTGTAGTTGCTGGAGCTGTATACAGAAGGACTGACTCCATTTTTCCAACTCTCTTCTTTTGGTAAAGCAAGTGAAGAAGATATTAATGTGCTAAATACAGAGGAAAAAAGAAGAAAGGTGACTAGTGGACAATAATAATGCATGGCATCCAGAAAATATCTTTGCCTTCAAGAATTAGAGCCTCAAATGTGAAATATCTCAATCTTTTTCCCTTTTTTTCTTTCTTTCTTTGACAACAAGGACTTCAAGCCTGATAATTGCAGTAAACTCACTACTCACTAGGGTCGTTTGGTAGGGTGTATAAGAATAATGCGGAATAAGGTGTATTAGTAATGCAAATATTAGTTATGCATATATTATTTCTTATCTACTGTTTGGTGTGGTGTATTAAAAATTATAATGCATTGCATAATTTTTAAGAAAAATAGTTATTTACAAAAATGCCCTCCATATTCTGTATCTTTAAGGGACTTTAAAGAAAATTTTGTCTTTAACCATACTAATACATGCATTAATAGCCTTGGTATTACTAATATCATAGTTTTCTATGCATTACTTAAGGATAATACCAAGTATAATGTATAACTAATACAAGCATTAATTATATACAGGTTGAAAAAATGTACCAAACAAGGTATTAGTAATGCACAGAGTTAATGCTTGCATTATTTTTTCTAATACCTCCTACCAAACGACCCTTAAGTTAGTTTCTATAGTATAATGGAAATGTCATCCAAAATTAATTACCAAAAAAAAGTTTTTCAAATTTGTCTAGTATTTAGGTGAAGTGACTAAAATAATTTTTGTGATGAAAAGTCACCCAAATTACCTAATTGTAATAACACACAAGAACTAGTAATTTTCCGTGATACTTGGGCAAAATTCAATATTTTTGACTGTAGCAAAAAATAATTTTATGGCTTTTATAATACTTAGACAAAGTTGAGTTTATTAAATATATATATTAATACTGTGATGAAACGGATAATTAGGAAAAAATAACACCACTTGATATAATTGTCTTTTAGCACGTTGGTTATGTGCTTGTTTTTGTTTTAGGGAATTGAACCCAGGACCTTTTCTAAGTATTTAAGACTCCACAAAATCAATAGATTAAGGTTATTTCTTGTTCAAAAGTATGATAATTAAAGTTATTATTCATGTTCTTCTATAAATTTCGACACCGCTTACAAAATTTTTTGCGTACGACGTTTGACAATGAAGTGATAGGTTGGCTAAGCCCCCGAACAATTTGGGGTAGAGCCAGGCTTGATTGATGTTGACTCAACGTTATCTTTGTCTATAATAAGATATTTTGCGTTGCTATTTTATGGTTACTAAAACAAAGCTATAAATGAGCAATTGATTACTTTCCCATAGTGGAAAGGCCCTTAAAACAGTAAGCAAAGTGAAACAATATTCAACAGTACTTGTTTTTCAAAATAAGAGGAGAATTATTAATAAAGAATCAACCCTGCTCACCCAAATCGTTTAAATTAAAAATAGCCGATAAATATATAGTAATATGTATATAATTGTGTGTAATCATTGTATAATCTACGTGGCTAGAAAAAAGTAAACATCCCTTTATTAATAAAGGTGGGAGTAGTGGTTTTATAGAATTTTCAACCTTAAAGAAACAAAATAATCAATGTAAAATCTCATAATTTTCTCTAATAAACGATACCCGGCATCTAACTTGTTTGGCCAAGCTTTTCCAAGGCTAAAAGTTTCTTTTTTCGTTCAAAAAAAGTAGTACTTCTTTCTCAAAGTTGAGGTGTTTGGCTAAATTTTTAGGACGCATAAAAGTGCTAAATATTTTTGAAAAGTTGAAAAAAATAGCTTCTTCCAAAAAGTACAAGCAAAAATTGTTTCTAAGTTTCCTCTGGGCAAAAATACCCTTAGCAAAAATTATATCTAAACATAATTCTCCTAATGTATAAGTATTTCTTTTTATTTTTTAGAATAAATTTATGATATATGTTGACTTTTGGGGTGAATACATACATACACACACACATACATACATACATATATATATATATATTATTTAAGCCATTGAAAGAATAAAGTGCTTTCAATTTTTTATTTTCATATTTTACTTAATAAAAACGAAGAACTGAATTATAGTCTTTCATAATAAGTATTTTAAATTATTTATCTACTTCAATAATATTTTAATATTAAGTAAAAAAATTCATGTCCTTATTTGTAATTTGACACTTAAAATACTGTTTGAAAAGCTTGGCCAAACACATTACTTAAAGGTGCTTTTCATATATGTTGAGCAGACTCTCAAAAATACTGCCGCACTCGTGTCAGATTCTCCAAAAATACATTGCTTTTGGAAAATCCGACACGCACCCGGCGACATTATCGGAGAGAAGCACCATAGCTTTTCATTGAATTAAACCAGCACTTTGCTGAATAAACCCTGTAAAATAAATAAATTGTTCCCTTGTGAATATTAAATACTATGCCTTCCTTGAAATGCCAAAGTCTTGCTCTCATATACAATGGACTACTGATATTAGTAATCCTAATAACTGTCCTTGTTTTCTTGATGAAACTGTTGAGGCTCTTCTTTAAACTTGAAGATGCATAAGACTGAGCTGTAACCTCTCTTGGCAAACATTTTTCTTCTGTTTTGAGCATCCTTTCCCAAACGAATATATACATGATCCCTCGCCAAACTAATATATACATGACCATGTCATGATGTCTATACGGCTTCTCTTCCGTTAACCAAATTTAATGTGCTAAGAATACGAACCTAGTTCATACTTTCATGCAAAGTTTCATGTTCATGAGCTAGGAACCCTGTTCAGCAATTCGTTCATGACCGGGAATCTAAAGATTGAATTGCGAGCTTGGCTGCTACCAAGGAAATATTTTCTTGCACATATCCTATGGAATCTTCAAGTCTCTCTAGGGTATCCCTGATGTCCATAGCTCTCAACTTCTTTTTTTGCAGCTTCTGCAACTCTGACTCGGAAGATCCTATGAAAAGGGAAAAATAATGCAAGATTGAAAATAAGTAGGGAACATATTTGATCATCAATTTGCTTTCTCGAATGTCAGACTGCTCTGTATGGTTTCCATCATCAAAATTCATAACTACATATGCCGTCCTACATCTTGTACCACTATTGCAGATCTAATGCATGCAACTTGAAAGGATATTTTGGAACAAAAGGATTACCCCTTTTGGTTGAGAGACATTGATGAGGATCGAGAAGTAACCTTCTCTTTTGTTCAACATATAAACAAGAATGGAGAAGAAATGTTTCTGGCTGCTAATAAATATAGTCCCTTTGGTTGTCCCGACTCCCTATACTCTAGGAGAGTATGGATCTTTCTAAAATTCCCCTTTGTTTAGGCACAGATCTAAATATGTGTTTTGGCAAATTGGAACAGAAAAAAAGGAATGACAAATGGGAGTATTGATGTTCATCTGATAACTTGGGTGTTGTCTCTGTTACATTCCTTAAAGTATTATTTTGAGTTGCTCTAACCCGAAACTAACTTGCGTGTTTCAGTATATTTAGATAGGAACTAAACTTTACCTCAACGTAGGTGCTGTCTGTCCTATATTAGACATTTGGTAAGGTAGATAAGAGGAGGCAAAATAATAGTCCAGATTTTGGTTTGCCCAACTAAATTTAGTCCAAAGGCAGGTAATAATTCATTCCAAGGGGACATTCCAATTCAATACGAGTTGTTTAGTGCAATGTTGAGTTTTGGATGAACAGTAATTATACGCCCGCATGTTTAGATCAAACTAACAAACCTTAACAGACTTCAGAATGCAGCAATTATATAAACAAGAATTGCTGAATCTAAACAAGCAGATGGCATTAATCCTGTCCCAAAACCTAGAGTTTATATGTAGAATTGTCAGCTTTTCAGTCAATCAAACTATGCAGCAGTTCAAAGAAACTAATCTGAAATATTTGCATTTCCCATTTATAGTTATTTATAGAGCCAAGCTGGACCTGTAATAGAAACGTGCTACCATTCCATTCAGAAGATGTGTCAAATGGCTTGGACTCAGATGCGGGTTATGCATATCCTTGGAGACTGAACTACTTACCAGAAACAGGTTGAAGTGCTGCAAAGGATACAAGCTCAGCAAAAGGTGGAATGAAGCTGTTGTCGCAATCCGGAACAGGTGTCTTCTCAGACCATTTCAAAGAGTTTGCAGTTAAAGTTTGCAACAAAGCTTCTTGAGGAGCCTGGAGAAATATATGCTATTTAAGTTTCACATTTTCAGCCCAGCCCCAAGTGAAAAGAACTCAACCTTTCATTGCCTAAACTTTGTTTAGATCAAGTAAATTTGCAACATGAATGAACCTATGCTAGTTTGTTAAAAGTTTTGGACAAAAAGGAGCCACTAAGAGCAAACATAACAAGATAAAGTATCTTCTAAACTTCTACAGAAGGCAGAAGAATACGGAATAAGTCAAACAAGATGGAACAATATAATAGCATCAATGCCAAAGAGATGTGCATTTGTCGCAATGTACTTCATAAAAAAGAACAAATTTTTGAAAATTTTAAGAGAGTGCATGCTTCCCGAAGACAAACAGACTGACACACAGAGAGAAGAGAGAAGGGAGAAGGGAGAACCTTCAGCTTTATTTCCAAGCTATTCAAATTACGGAGAGCTTCTTTTATCTCCAGAACTTTGGAACTTAGTTCTGTCTCACTGTGTGCAGTGTTGTCCAGCAATGGTATGACTGCACCTGTCAAGTATGGTTCTGCCTACAAATTATGTCAAAGAGAAGACCTGCTTGGATATTCTGATTGTGAGCATAAGAATGTCTACAGCGCTTAAGTTAATATTTATGGCGAATGATTGCTGACAGAAACAGATAGTAAAGATTCTATACTACTTATAAGCCCCTATGCCATTAAATAACTTCCAAAGTCTGGCGTAACTACCTAGTATTTGTAAAAGCTCATACACAAATTGCACTTATTTTCCTATCACTAAACTGAAAATTGATAGCGTAAATTGGTTATTACCTTGCTCTATATCCTACTTTTTCTCATCTCCAACTATTACCTTCTCTTGATTGAACTTTGATTGAAACTATTTCTAGTGTGACACTTAAATTAACAAATAAATTTTTTTCGGCCTTTTGGGAAAAAAAGGAGCACACACGTAGAGTGCCACGACTCAACTTTCTTAAAATATACGTTGCACATAACTGGCAAAGAGTAAAGATACCTTTATCTGTAGAAACTCACTAGTCCAACTCCTTTTCAGGTGTTGAAAGTGTAGAATTATTACAATTCAGTACATAAAATAGTCAATACAAAAAGGAGCCATTTAGTAGAAAAGTCATTGTTCCAACTCCTTTGAACTGGTTAAAAACGCTGAGTGATTCTCTCTACCCCACATAGTATAGATAGAGAAAAAGTGTCAACAACCAAATAGCAGAGTTGCTATATCAGGTACTTAGGATAGCATGATGGAGAAATGAGATATTGTGTTCATTAACTTACAAGCTAGAAAGGCATTATTAAACCTATAATTAGTGACAGAAAGCTCACCTGTTCAAATTTCAGAATTTTGGCACGGCCTATACCCCTAATAGAGACTAATGCACCAATCTCCAATTTCTCGACCTGCATAGCGTAGTGAAGATTCTCTTATATTCTGGGTTTCTTTTTAATAACTGAAACAGCAGAAAAGTAAGAAACTCACTTTCTCTATTGCAACCAAGCAACCGTATCTAGCAGCAAAAGATGCTTCTCCTGATGTATCATTGATGGCTATAGGATCTAGAACAAAGTGCACAAAGAGCTTTTTCTTCTTAAAAAGAGACTGCAGCAATGAACAGGAGAAAAACTACAGTTAAGGTAGAGCGTTTTGATAATCACTGCTCATCGAAATGATAGTATTCAAGAGAATACGATCAATTGATTGCTTCTTTTCCCAAATTTCAAACATATCTATTTCACATTTTATACCAATAATTCTCTCAAGCAAAGATTGTCAAGGGGAACAAAGTATCAAGAATGCAAGCACGTTGTGCAGGTGGCCAAATAGTAGGATACTGTTTTTGAAGCAATCATTAATGCAGAAAGCTTGCAGCTGTTTTATCTAGATAGATGTGTAGCCATAAGCAATGAGTTATCGCGCATATACAAATAAAACTATTAGCATGTCATAACTCAAACTTGAGTATTAGAGAATGATAAGAAACTACTAGACCATTATCATTAGCTATATAAGAATGACAGATAAAAAGGACAGCCTGGTGCACTAAGTTCCCATTATACGCGGGGCCCGGGGAAGGGCCGGACCACAAGGGTCTATTATACGCAGCCTTATCTTGCATTTCTGCAAGAGGTTGTTTCCACAGCTCGAACCCATGACCTCCAGGTCACATGACAACAACTTTACCAGTTACGCCAAGGCTCCCTTTCGATATAAGTATCACAGATGAAGATGAAAATGTTTATATCGTGCACCTCCTCTAACAGCGCCAAGTATCTTGCTTCATACAAGTGTAGTGTCTTTGTCTCTGAAGGGACTAATACCTGCATAACAAAGAGTTCCTAGAGTGACTATCTTTACTTATTTCACTATCAAACTTAAGATAAAAATACACACTAAACATTCTTTGGCTTGAGCTTTCTATTGGTTGAAGATAACCACAAATTTGACCACAAAAATGAAAATTCTCAGTATCTCCAGTTTACTTAAAGAAAATGATAAACCAAAATTTATGCAACTTAAATATTTAATTTGGAAAAGACCCCACAAAACATAAACTCCTTCCATTCTAAATTGTTTGGTATAGTTTGACTCGACACGAATTTAAGAAAGAAATGAAGGTTCTCCAAGCTTGTGGTCTTAATAATGTCATACATTTTTGCAATTATAGTCTCGTTCAAAGTTGTGATCTTAAATATGCCATAACATTTATACGGCTATAAAGGTTCTCGTTAACGTAAAATGGCACTAAGTCAGTTGTTTCCAAATATAGATATCTATCATTCTTTTTTAGAACGGACTAATAAAAAAATAGTACAACAAATATATTGGAATAGAGAGAGTAAAGATACTAAATGGAGAAAACTCAAATGAGAAACGCCCCAAAAGAGAACCCAGATGAGAAAAATAAATAAAAGTAATGTTCACCTGGTCAATAGGGAAGGGAAGAAGCGGCAGCTGTAAGGAGGAAGCACAAGTGAGAAAACGACGTCGTTTCTTATCTAACTGAGGAATTCTGTGAACAGAATGAAATGGAAAGGAGGAGAAGCTAAATAAAATAGTGGTGGAGTTGGACTGCACCAATTGTGTTTTACTTGTGCAGAGTGAGGGATTAAAGATTGATGGATGAGGAAAAGATAAGCTGACATTCATCTTGGCTGGACTGCCTCTCACTCAGTGTTTGAAAATGAATCAAAATATATATTAGTGTTATGAAAATATTATATTGTGTATGTCCATTTATTATTACTTCGCTATAGCTAATTTTTCTGAAGATTATTATTCATTTAGTATTCTGTTGAAATTTATCTACAAGTAGTTGATGCAGGCAGTTTGCATGCAACTTAATAAAATGATTTGCAACAGCTTCTTATTAAATAGGCAGGTTGCGAGCAACTCATGCAGACAGCTTATAAGCAGCTCAAGAAAAACCTCATTGCTGCTCCTGGAAAGCCTCGCAGCTGCTTCCGGAAAAGCCTCGCAGCTGCTTCATTTCTTCTATAAATAGAGGAGTTGTCGCTTTATTATGTACATCAGTTTGAAGTTGAATAATATATCAATCTCTCTTTATACTTGTCTTCAGTTTATTCACTTTATAGTCTTTATTTTATAACACGTTATCAGCACGAGACTCTACCATCTCGAGCAAATACTTTGAAAGTATCAGAGGTACGAACTTTCTTTTTCTATATAATGTCAAATCTTTCTAAACTTGAATTTATAGCCTTGGATATATCGGGCAAAAGCTACATGTCTTGGGTGCTTAATGCTGAAATTCATCTTGATGCGAGGGTCTGGCAGACGCCATCAAGGACAAAAATCCAGCATCAAACCAAGACCGTGCCAAAGCAATGATATTCCTACGCCATTACCTTGAGGAAGGCTTGAAATGAAATATCTCACTGTTAAAGATCCAGTTATACTGTGAAATAATTTGAAAGAAAGATATGACCACCTGAAGATGGTGGTTCTTCCACAGGCACGTTATGACTTGACTCATTTAAGGCTACAAGATTTTAAATCTATCAGTGAGTATAATTTCGCTATGTCTGAAATTATTTCCCAATTGAAATTATGTGGTGATAATATTACTGATCATGATACGTTAGAGAAAACTTTCACCACTTTTCACGCCGCGAATATGCTCCTACAGCAGCAATATTGAGAGATGAGATTCAAAAAGTATTCTAAACTCATTTCACATCTTCTTGCAGCCGAGCAACATAATGGGCTATTAATGAAAAACCATGAAAGCTGACCTACTGGTTCTTGTCTATTCCCGGAAGTGAATGAGACGAACTTCCTCCAAGCTAAGCGTGGAAGAGGTCGTGGCCCCAGCCAAGGTCATGGCCGTGGTCAGGGAAGAAACTCTAATCATGGTAATTGTAATGTACCAAAGAACCCTCCTAACCACCAGAAATGAAAAATGAAGGAACAAAAGCATGATGCGGTGCAAGCAACAAATGCAAAAAATGCATGCTATAGATGTGGAGGAAAAGGGCACTGGTCACATACCTGTCGTACGCCAAAGCACCTAGTTGAGCTTTATCAAGCCTCCCTAGAGAAGACAGAGAAAAATGCTAAAACAAATTTTATTTCTGAAGATAATTTAGATTTCATGCATTTGGATGTAGTTGATTGTTTTGCACTCCTAAAAGGAGAAACAAGTCATGTGATCGGTGATGAATCTATAGAAATATAAATATTTTAATTTTTGTTGTTTGTAGTAGATAGTATGGTTATGTAATTGTTGTACATAAATAAAAGTTATGCTTTGATAATGATGTTTACTATAATATATTTTGTTTATGTCATTTTGAAGAATATAGATAATCCTCAAATTATATTTGGATCAAAGACAAATCATATGGATATTTGTGTAATTGATAATGGAACAACTCATATCATATTCAAAGATCAGAAATACTTTGCTTATTTGCATAGGGAAAAAGCAAATGTTTCTATAATTTTTGGTAATATAAGTTTGATTGAAGGCTTCGGAAGAGCCGTTATATTTCTAAGGGAACAAAACTTATATAGACAATGCATTGTTCTCCTCCAAGTCCCGAAGAAACTTGTTGAGTTTTATAGATATCCGCCGAAATGGGTATCATGTTGGGACGATAGATGAAATGAATATAGAGTATCTTTGTGTTACAAAGAATATTTCTGGCCAGAAGTGCATTATAGAAAAGTTACCAACTTTATCTTCTGCCTTATACTATTCAAAGATCAGTACAGTTGAAGCACACTCTATCGTAAATCAGAGCTGATTCAAATATTTTTGTGCTTTGGCATGGCCATGATAATAGGCTAGATTTATGTAATTTGGCGATTGTTTATGCCCCAGCTTGACCATGTTTTACTGTTATAATATAGTTAAATGATGATAAATTGGCTCTAATTGTGAATTTCACACGTTGCAGGAGTCATTGGCATGAATAAGGACTTAAGACGGTAATCGGAGCTAAAATGAAGCAAGAAAAGCCCCTAAAAGCTGAGTACGTGGGAAGACGAGAGAAAGAAGAGCTAAAATGGAGACCTGGACTAGCGCGGCCACTAGCGCGACCGCGCTAGCCCAGTTAGTCGAGGCAGAATGATAGGGCATATGTGCGGTCACTAGCGCGCTCATTAGCGCAACCGCGCTAGCCTAGTTTCGGAAAAGTATATTTCAGGGGTAAACTTGGAAGTTCGGGGGAAAATTCACTTAACCTATAGAAGGTCCAGCTCGCCCAAAGATTCATTATCAAGGTTTTCATAACTTAGTTCAAGGCAAGGAGAGGCAAGAGGCAAGGAGGATAATTCAACATCGAGTTCTTCCTTTCTTCCTTTTGTTTTTACGATTTGTGATGACTTTGAATATTGTTGTGATGAACACTAGTATGAGTAGCTAAATATTTAGTCTATGGTTTTGATGGAACCTATTGAAGGATGAACTTCTTGTTATGTTAATATAGTTTGCCCGGTTTAATCTCTATTTGTTCAACTATGTTCTTATTGTATTTAATTGACAGGATCCTCAGTTAGCTGTGCCTATTTAGTGTGCATAACTCGGGAGAGAGTGCATATTTAGGTAATTGTTGAACAACACCACTCCCAAAGTATATGAGGGATCAATAACCGAGGGTTTAAAGGCGGGATTAGGGATAACGAAGCCTTGGGTGTGATCTAAAGTGAGCTGTAATAAACAAAGCCAGCTAGAGTATCTCGGGAGAGTGCGTCTAGTAGATTATTGTGATTACTCGGGAGAGATTTACGATAATAATAGTGCTCATGATTGATAGAGATGATTAGGCAAATCTATGTGAAGCATAACCGGAAGGGATTCCATCAATAGGGGAAATCATAACCTTAGAACCTTCTCTTAATTGTTTACAACTTAATCATAGTTAGTTTTCAGCTGCTTATTTACTTTTAGTCGTAGTTAGTAGAAATACCATCAATTGTTATTTACAACGTTTGGGAAGTTGATTCCGTGGAAGTTAGTAAGTCTAACGAGAGTAATTGATAGGTTAATTCCTTGTGGGTTCGACTCTGGGATAAATACTCAGATTATATTTGTAACGTCTGCGTGTCCTTTTTATAAGGCATAGTTGGGCGTGATCAGGCCACTTGGGCCATCCTGGATCAATAATGATGAGACGGCTAATTAAAAATTCAAGTGGCATCCATTAAAGAACCTAAAGATTCTACAAATGATGAATTTTCTTGTGATCCTTATTATCAAGGCAAAATGATTACTAGACCATCACCAATGAAGGTTGGCATGGAATCCCCTGCCTTTTTAGAGCGTATACATGGGGATATATGTGGACTTATTCACCCACCAAGTGGGTTATTTAGATATTTTATGGTCCTAATAGATGCATCTTCAAGATGATCTCATGTATGCCTACTATCATCTCGCAACCTGGCGTTTGCAAAGCTATTATCCCAAATAATTCGATTAAGGGCACAATTCCCAGATTATCCTATAAAGGCTATTAGCCTTGATAATGCTGGAGAATTCTCATCTCAAGCTTTTGATGATTATTCTCTATCAGTTGGGATAAAAGTCGAACATCCTGTAGCTTATTTTCATACTCAAAATAGCCTTGCAGAGTCATTTATTAAATGCCTGCAATTGATAGCAAGACCGCTACTTATGAAAATAAAATTACCCACTACTGTTTGGGGCCATGCTATCTTGCATGCAGCATCACTTATTCGTCTCAGACCTGTGAGCACGTGATTTTTGCCCTAAGCAATAATTCCCAAAATTTCAAACAAAACAATTTTTCTAGTATTTTATAATTTTTGTGAATTTTGTGGCATTCTTTGGTAATTGTTGCATTGTTATTTGTGCATTTTAACCCATATGAAAATACCAAAATATGCATTGGCATTTAGGGATTTAATTTCACAATTTTAGTATTAATTAGTTTTAGAATAAAATGTAAAGAAAATTGCAAGAAAATAGTTCATTGCATTACTAATTATTGCATTTGTTTTTAAATAGAGTTACAAGTAATTTTGGGAGTTAAATAGTGTAATTAGGTCTTCGCTTTGTTTTAGCATTTTATAAAATCAGAAAAATAAATAAATACAAAAATACCAAAAAAAGGGGAAAAAGAAAAATTAAAAATGGTCTTAATTGGAGACCAAATTTGGGCCAAAATCAGTTAGCCCAAACAAAATTCCCACGTCCAGGCCCAAACGCCCTGCCCGGTCCAATTGCCTCATGATCAAAACGACGTCGTTTTGACGTCGTTTAATCACGACCATCCATCTCCCCAAATCCAGTGGCCACGATTGACTCTCAAAATGAAATAAAACTGTCCGAATTATACAGAAAAAATCAAAACACAATTCATCTTCCTCGTACCCTGTAACGCCACTGTTCCCCCGCCGTCCTCCGCCCTGGCGCCGCCGGCCGAAAATCGCCGCCGGCGGCGGCGATGCTCCGATGACCACCAAAAATACACCACTGACTCCCCTCGTCTCCCCCTGTCCAACCATGCCCTCAGCTCCCCTCGAATCATAGCCAATCTCGTCGAATATTCCATCGAAGTTTCCGGCCAAGTCGCAAACTCACCCAAACTGGCCCAAATTCGTACCATATGTCCCTCATCCCTCCCTCATCATTAATCCCTAACCAGAATCTTTCGAATATTGCCAGAGCTTCTCGAATTTTAGATCTTAGACTGGCAGAACCCTAGCTCAGAA